CTGTCCTAACTGTACATGTGTGTATCAGATACCTGTGTGTGTGTTTACAGGGGTTTCATGTCAGATACCTGTCCTAACTGTACATGTGTGTATCAGATACCTTGTGTGTTTACAGGGGTTTCACGCAAGATACCTGTCCTAACTGTACATGTGCATCAGATACCTGTGTGTGTGTTTACAGGGGTTTCATGTCAGATACCTGTCCTAACTGTACATGTGTGTATCAGATACCTGTGTGTGTGTTTACAGGGGTTTCACGTCAGATACCTGTCCTAACTGTACATGTGTATCAGATACCTGTGTGTGTGTTTACAGGGGTTTCACGTCAGATACCTGTCCTAACTGTACATGTGTATCAGATACCTGTGTGTGTGTTTACAGGGGTTTCACGTCAGATACCTGTCCTAACTGTACATGTGTATCAGATACCTGTGTGTGTGTGTTTACAGGGGTTTCACGTCAGACACCTGTCCTAACTGTACATGTGTGCATCAGATACCTGTGTGTGTGTTTACAGGGGTTTCACATCAGATACCTGTCCTAACTGTACATGTGTATCAGATACCTGCGTGTGTGTTTACAGGGGTTTCATGAGATACCTGTCCTAACTGTACATGTGCATCAGATACCTGTGTGTGTGTTTACAGGGGTTTCACGCAAGATACCTGTCCTAACTGTACATGTGTGCATCAGATACCTGTGTGTGTGTTTACAGGGGTTTCACGCAAGATACCTGTCCTAACTGTAGATGTGTGTATCAGATACCTGCGTGTGTGTTTACAGGGGTTTCACGTCAGATACCTGTCCTAACTGTACATGTGTGTATCAGATACCTGTGTGTGTGTTTACAGGGGTTTCACGCAAGATACCTGTCCTAACTGTAGATGTGTGTATCAGATACCTGCGTGTGTGTTTACAGGGGTTTCACGTCAGATACCTGTCCTAACTGTACATGTGTGTATCAGATACCTGTGTGTGTGTTTACAGGGGTTTCACGCAAGATACCTGTCCTAACTGTACATGTGCATCAGATACCTGTGTGTGTGTTTACAGGGGTTTCACGTCAGATACCTGTCCTAACTGTACATGTGCATCAGATACCTGTGTGTGTGTTTACAGGGGTTTCATGTCAGATACCTGTCCTAACTGTACATGTGTGTATCAGATACCTGCTTGTGTGTTTACAGGGGTTTCACGTCAGATACCTGTCCTAACTGCACATGTGCATCAGATACCTGTGTGTGTGTTTACAGGGGTTTCATGTCAGATACCTGTCCTAACTGTACATGTGTGTATCAGATACCTGCGTGTGTGTTTACAGGGGTTTCACGCAAGATACCTGTCCTAACTGTACATGTGTATCAGATACCTGTGTGTGTGTTTAAAGGGGATTCATGAGATACCTGTCCTAACTGCACATGTGCATCAGATACCTGTGTGTGTGTTTACAGGGGTTTCATGAGATACCTGTCCTAACTGTACATGTGTATCAGATACCTGTGTGTGTGTGTTTACAGGGGTTTCACGTCAGACACCTGTCCTAACTGCACATGTGCATCAGATACCTGTGTGTGTGTGTTTACAGGGGTTTCATGTCAGATACCTGTCCTAACTGTACATGTGTGTATCAGATACCTGCGTGTGTGTTTACAGGGGTTTCACGCAAGATACCTGTCCTAACTGTACATGTGTGCATCAGATACCTGTGTGTGTGTTTACAGGGGTTTCACGTCAGATACCTGTCCTAACTGTACATGTGTATCAGATACCTCTGTGTGTGTTTACAGGGGTTTCACGTCAGATACCTGTCCTAACTGTACATGTGTGTATCAGATACCTGTGTGTGTGTTTACAGGGGTTTCACGCAAGATACCTGTCCTAACTGTACATGTGCATCAGATACCTGTGTGTGTGTTTACAGGGGTTTCACGTCAGATACCTGTCCTAACTGTACATGTGTGTATCAGATACCTGCGTGTGTGTTTACAGGGGTTTCACGCAAGATACCTGTCCTAACTGTACATGTGTATCAGATACCTGTGTGTGTGTTTAAAGGGGATTCATGAGATACCTGTCCTAACTGCACATGTGCATCAGATACCTGTGTGTGTGTTTACAGGGGTTTCATGAGATACCTGTCCTAACTGTACATGTGTATCAGATACCTGTGTGTGTGTGTTTACAGGGGTTTCACGTCAGACACCTGTCCTAACTGCACATGTGCATCAGATACCTGTGTGTGTGTGTTTACAGGGGTTTCATGTCAGATACCTGTCCTAACTGTACATGTGTGTATCAGATACCTGCGTGTGTGTTTACAGGGGTTTCACGCAAGATACCTGTCCTAACTGTACATGTGTGCATCAGATACCTGTGTGTGTGTTTACAGGGGTTTCACGTCAGATACCTGTCCTAACTGTACATGTGTATCAGATACCTCTGTGTGTGTTTACAGGGGTTTCACGTCAGATACCTGTCCTAACTGTACATGTGTGTATCAGATACCTGTGTGTGTGTTTACAGGGGTTTCACGCAAGATACCTGTCCTAACTGTACATGTGCATCAGATACCTGTGTGTGTGTTTACAGGGGTTTCACGTCAGATACCTGTCCTAACTGTACATGTGTGTATCAGATACCTGCGTGTGTGTTTACAGGGGTTTCACGCAAGATACCTGTCCTAACTGTACATGTGTATCAGATACCTGTGTGTGTGTTTAAAGGGGATTCATGAGATACCTGTCCTAACTGCACATGTGCATCAGATACCTGCGTGTGTGTGTTTACAGGGGTTTCACGTCAGACACCTGTCCTAACTGCACATGTGCATCAGATACCTGTGTGTGTGTGTTTACAGGGGTTTCATGTCAGATACCTGTCCTAACTGTACATGTGTGTATCAGATACCTGCGTGTGTGTTTACAGGGGTTTCACGCAAGATACCTGTCCTAACTGTACATGTGTGCATCAGATACCTGCGTGTGTGTTTACAGGGGTTTCACGTCAGATACCTGTCCTAACTGTACATGTGTATCAGATACCTGTGTGTGTGTTTACAGGGGTTTCACGTCAGATACCTGTCCTAACTGTACATGTGTATCAGATACCTCTGTGTGTGTTTACAGGGGTTTCACGTCAGACACCTGTCCTAACTGCACATGTGTGCATCAGATACCTGTGTGTGTGTTTAAAGGGGTTTCACGTCAGATACCTGTCCTAACTGTACATGTGCATCAGATACCTGTGTGTGTGTTTACAGGGGTTTCATGTCAGATACCTGTCCTAACTGTACATGTGCATCAGATACCTGTGTGTGTGTTTACAGGGGTTTCTTGTCAGATACCTGTTCTTACTGTACATGTGCATCAGATACCTTGTGTGTTTGCAGGGGTTTCATGTCAGATACCTGTCCTAACTGTACATGTGCATCAGATACCTGAACCCCCCAGAAACATGAAACCTCTGTAAACACACACAACAGGTATCTGATGCACATGTAATATGCCATTTTTATAACTGACAGTACATTTCACCAATTACCTGTCTTTATAGGAAAAATGCAATTAGTGAAAACAAGTGCAGGACTTTTATTCATATTGTATTACATTCTGGGTTGACAAATAATACTGGTCAATAGAGAAAGTTTAAGGTCATCCACTTTTAACTTCAATATAGCTACACAACACAGTTTATTTTATTTTCGTTTCTATTTATAATTTTGTTAAATGTGTGCCAGAGATCATGGTGTATTCCAATATTTCTGGTTGTTTAATGGCGCGATTGTGTAATATTAGCGTGTGACTTTGAAATAATTAACTTTGAAATAATTAACCAGATTGTTTCTTAGTGGTAAAAACGAAAACCCTTGGTGCAATGTTACCCTCAATACACTTAGCGCGCAAAAAACAAAAAACACTTAGCGTGCATGTCCGGTGACCTATGCAAATATAAACTCTACAACGTCACACTTTTTACGCGCTACTGAAACCCCTGGAAATAAGTGACTGCCCCTATGGCTCTATGCCTGGCGGTATTTCCGGTGAAGGTTATGGATGCTCGATAACTTCCGCCGATCCAATGCAATACCGAGAATTTATATTAAATTTTATACTCTATGGTTATACTAACGTTAGTCACAGAAACAGACAAAACAGACACCCCCTTCGTTGTGATTATGCTTCTTTTTAAAATTATATTAAATAAACATAACTTTACATAAAATTACATCTAAACGTATGAACGTTTCGTTTCAAAAATGGGAGGACAGTAAATATTGAAGACTCTGCCATAATCCCGTTTTCCTCGGTTTTGCTCCGCTTTAATCTCCCCAACCAGAAACTGGCGAGCATCCTTGTGTCAAATGCGCCACTTATGCGTGCATATAGCCCATAATATAATGTGATCACAGTCCATCGGGAGCAGGTGAGGGGGGAGCAATTAAACTCAGGTTTGAAACAGGCGATCAAACCATGAAAGTGTGAAAGTGCTGTAATAGAGAGTCAAATACAACTTTGCACTGCAGTTTTCAGTTTCGCAAACAGAGATCATTGAAAATGGTTATTAAGCAGTTTAATCTGTGAGAGCAGTTCCACAGTGTTAGAACACGCAGAGTTGTTGGGTTTTGGGAACTATCATATTAATGTAATGAACTGTGCACTTTACTAGTTTTATGGGGATGAAACTTGCTTTTATGTCTGCAATATTCATTTTCATTTCATCATTGAAATCAATTAAATATTAGATGAAACTAAGACGAAACACATACAAAATCTTTTGAAGAAACCACAAAAGAAGAGTTAAGTACAGTACTTTAGCTAAGTAAGAAAAAAGTTATAAGTTTTATCTCAGCAGGAAAAAAAAAAAACGATTAGAAAAGAAAGAAAAATAAAAAAAAAAGTTTCCTCCACCCTCTGGATCCAGATTCATAGCATGTTATTAAAGTAATCTTGAAATTGATGTTGCAATCAAAACCAGTATTTAATGTCAAAATGAGCCCTTACCTGCAGGACCCGCACGTCTTGTTTCAATGCTTCAGATTCTTCTGTAAGGACTGACCTGTCAATCAAACCAGGCCTTCTTTTTTAAAGGATTAAGTGCATATGCATTATTCTAAATCAACACTCACGAAGTGTAATGGGGAAAAAAATACTGTATATCAAACAAACACAATAGCATATGTGCACCAAGGAAAAGAACATAATTATGGCAACTATAAATAACTGTCCATATTCTGGGCCATTATGGGTTTCCGATAGGAGACCTCTTCTCATTTAAGTACTAAACAAGTTTAAGCAAAAAGACTTTTTATCTGGGCTGGACTCAAACTGCGGCACCATGAACTCTTTTCCAGATCAGCGGGGAAGCGAAAACTGGCCTACTTCTTCTCTGTTACATAACCATTGTAGTCACTTAAACTCTCTTCCCTTTTCTTTTAAGGCCAAGGAATCTTACATATGTCGAGATCTGGTATTCATTTGCTCACAATGAGGTCTTTTGTTCTGATGGAGGGATAGATGTGACTACTCGCTCCAGCTTCCCTCCTTCTATCTCAATTCCTGCTGCCCCGCTGAGCAGGACTTACTGTTTGCATTCCTCTTAGCTGGGTGGAGGGTTACACATGCCTGGCAGAGAATGAGAGAATGGGAGGTAGAGAATGGAGGGTGATAATGGGGTTGAGCGAGGCATTCGTAAAGTAGAAAGTGCAGACTGAAAGAGAAGCTTAAGAGCTGTACTGAGGTGGTACCATGACATTTAAAATACTTGGTTGTGTGTGTGTGTGTGTGTAATATATATATATATATATATATATATATATATATATATATATATATATATATGTGTATATATGTGTTTTGTTTGTATACACACATATAAATCTATCCAGTAAATAGTAATAAATCAAAATCAAAATCATACGATTTAATATTATTAAACATTTATTAAATAAAAAAAATATAAAAAATCTGTTTATATGAATGAACAAAACTAATAAAATAATATTATTACATATTTAATTTAAAATAATATTAAAAAATAATAAATACATTTTAACTTTATGAAATGATTTAATTAATTAATTAATGTTTAATTAATTTAAAATGAATTCATTTATTTATGACATTAAAACATAGATAAAAAGCTTTTTGAGATCAAGAGAAATCAGTCATGTGTGTCCAAACATTTTACTGTTAGTGTATGTGTGAGCTCACAGACAACCTCAAATCAAAATTTATCCACCAATTTAGAACCAGCAGTGAGTAATATAATCTTAGATGAAAGCGTATATGAGCATGAGCCGTCGTGGAAAGAGGGAAAGAGAGGAAGGTGAAGAAGTCCAACATTCTGTTTTAACAACAGCATGTTTGCACAAGAAGGAGCATGTCTGGTCTGCTCCCATAGTCAGTATGAGCACATGTTGAGCAAAGGAGGGAGAATTCTACCCGGAGGAAAGTGTGTTCCACAATATTAACTTCACTGCACAACAGGATCAAACTACAAGCGAACAATCTTGCTGGCTAAAAAGTCATTATTTTATGTACACTGCCTCAGGTGTAAACAAATGATTCCAATATTATCTGCTTGATAAAAAAGTAATTGCATTTGTTATGCATGGAATTAGGTCTGAAATTTTACTGTTGTTCATAGTTTTCATAATATGCTCAAAGCAATCCTCAGTTATAATAACATGTACACGCACTCTGTGTGACTTCCATTTAAAAATGAGCATCACTTTGCTCTATATTCAGTAATTTAAAAGGGAGCAGTGCGTATACTGTAACTGCTTAGATAGACCTCACCTGAGATGGGTCACAACTTCATCTATATGGGTGATGTTTAACTTGTGTCTTAAGGCCTTGATTTCTTCCTCACAGCTGGAGTGAGATGAGAGGCTAGAGATTGACCTGAAAAAAAAGAGTGCTATTCAATACTTACTAACTCATTAATATCATCAACTTCTGTCATGTAGAAGTACACTCACAGCACAGGTATATAATTTTGAAACGCTGACCTGCTTCCAATCTTGCTCTGGCTAGATGGGGGTCTGGAAGGTGATTTCTTTTCACACCAGCTGCCTGGACACCCCTGTCTCTGTGTGCTACTGCTGCTCAATGCGTAACTCACCACACTAGGATTGTACAGGGCCATGACCTCCTCTTCATCCCTGAGACACACACGCATACTCATTTACTGACAGTAAGAATGACAGAATTGTGAAAGTGAAAAGTGTTAGCACAGTATTACTGTGATTCCCAAGCAGGAGTTTGCCTCGTTAAACTAAAAAAGTAAATTATACTTAATTGGATTTAATTATAAATAAATGTGCAGTTAGAACTTTCTCAAAAAACCTGTGAAAGACAAAATGGGATCTCATTAAATAGATCTCATCTCATTAAAGCTATTTGGAGAGTCTCTTTCCACACAGTATTGATTTTTTTAGTTGTGGTTTAAAAGTGCACTAAAAATGAAATGAAGATGCTGAATGATATCCATAAAAAAATACCAGATTAGAGTTTAAGACTTGAGAAATTAGCAAATACCGGGCAGCCTGGTTGAGGAACGACCACCCAGGACCTTTCTGGAAAATAACCTTTGAACTCTCTCTTCTGAAGTTAGCATTACCATTTGAGAAGCAAGTCTCACCTCAGAATACATCTCTTTCCCACTTCCCACTTTCCCCACTCCCTCTCTCAGGTAAAAAGTTCAGAATTTTCTTGGAAGACACATTATTTTGTGACACTTCTATATTAGGGCTAAGTGGAATAGGCTACACACACTTTATTTTACAAATGTGAAGGGTATGATCGATTCATTTCGAAAAAGTAACGATTCATTTTTAAAAAGTACCGATTCTTTTTGAAAAGTAGCGATTCATTCTGAAAAAGTAGCGATTCAATTTTTGAAAAAGAAGCAATTCTTCCTGAAAAAGTAGCGATTCATGCATTATTATTTTGTTACATTATTATTTTTTTTATCTCTTACATTATACAGAGGTCTGAAGCCCTGCTCTGCTCATATAGAGGGGATGTAGTGACAGGAACAGAGGCTACATTGTGGGCACAGATCAGTAAGCAGCTTAGCAGTGTTCACAGAGAAGGGAGGAACATACTCTTGGCAACAAAGATGGCACAGAGGAGCCGCCACATCAAAAAGAGGACAAAAGAAAAATCCCTCAAACTATCAGAGGAAAATAAGAGGCTCTTTCAAAACGCCCCTCCATCTGCACTGGTAATTTACCTACATGTGAAATACGCTGTGCACACAACTTTCTCTTTCCAGCCTTCCTGCGCCGATTGTTGCACTAAATCTCTCCAGAGATTTAAGAACCTTCCTTTGGTCGGCTTTTAAAGTCTCAGCCGCTCGCAGTTCACGCATGAACTAAGGTTCTCTCTCAATGCCCATTAAACTGAGACCTAGCATAAAGAAACAGGTGCAGCTTGACTCCATACAGCCATAACAAATCACGCAGACCACACAGGAGGGAGGGGAGGCTATTGGCCGAGAGGGTAAAAAGTGCCGCTAACTAGATCCATTAAATTAATTCCTTTCAAAAGCTTTCTTGCCCACGTTAAAGCGCGAAAAACGCCATTGAATCGAGGGTTTCCTGCTTTGGCCCGCATCAGGTGCCGGGAAAGCTCCAATCCTGGAGCAATATGAAAGAGAAGTAATCCAAATTTGTCCTCAAAGCAGAGCAGCTAAATTATGTCACCAAAGGAAGTTGGTAACAAACAAAAACTGACATTGAAACCAAACAAGTTTACACCCCAACGCTCATATGCAATATTTGTTTCTGGGTGACAGAGCCAATTTGTTTCAGCAATTTGAGAATGAATGAAAGTGTTTTTTCTGATGGACTGAACCGGACCGGTAGTCACCAAACACCTGCTACTGATTTGCCACGGCTGAAAAGAGAGCTGTTTGTCTACTAAGAGAGGAGGGCTTTAAGGAATATAAATAGGTGAAAATGGATCTACAGGCTCAGCAAAGAATAATGTAGATAGTTAACCAACGAATTTTGACGAATCGTAATTTTATTGTTGAAAAAAAATAAAGTACATGTTAAAGTACATTTAAAAAAAGCTTTCAAAAGGACATTCTATCCTTCTGAGGACATTCTTTCCACTGTCTAGCTAGTTGCTGAGAGAAAATCGCCCCTCCTGCCTGACTGGTACCTGTAAACATCTTCTTCCCCAGTGCATTGTTATATTAGACACAAAAAGTAACAAAGAACCCTAAGAAAGAAAAGCCACTAGGCAACAAATTGAAATGTAATCATAAATTGCTACAAATTTAAAAGCAAACAGAACACAAACTGTCAAACAAATCAGACTTAGTCTTTATTGCTACGTAACTGATTCACTTAATTTAAAGCAGTTCTTTTGTGATGTGCTCCAATGGATGCTCAAAGCTTTTAAAGTCAATGATTTATGAGCAAGCACTTTTTAAAGCAATGTTACTTTACAAAAGCAAAGCCCTGACCTATGAACTCATTCCCAGTCAGCTGAAAAGAATACTTCGGGTCTCCATTAAGGTCAGAACATTCATTTGTCAAGTCAGGGAAAGCAATTACAACACGGCACCCGCAGATGAGACTTGACAGAGAGTTCTAGCTCTTCAGATGAAACTTTCAGTTGGAACCTATTGAAAATGTTCATTTTAAAAATGACTACAATTTAGAGTTAATATACCTAATATAGTTCATAAAACCATAACTGCATTGTCGGGATGCACGTTAGTTTGGTACAATATCGTTTTTTGACAGATTTAACTATTTTTAATTTATTGGTATCAGTCGGTGTGGTGCAGGTTGAAGGAAAGGTAGAGTCAAAAAGCTCCAATTTAAACATTTACTAAAAAATCAAATCCAAACAAGGTATGGGGATGACGGGCAGAAGGAAATCACACACTCAAAACCAGGTAACATTAACAGTAACGTTAACAGAGAAAGAAAAAAAATAGTTGAATAAAGTCGTTATGTTTGTTTGTTTTTTTGCACACAAAAAGAATTCTCGTCGCTTGATAAGCTTAAGATTGAGCCACTGTAGTCACTCGGACTATTTTAATGATGCCTTTAATAACTTTTGGGCCGGCCAGTTTCAATCCCTTAAGAAGCCTATGGAGGAGTGAACCAGCTCTCAGATTTAATCAAAAACATCTTAATTTGTGTTCCGAAAATGAACGAAAGTTTTACGAGGTAGGAACAACATAAGGGTGAGTAATTACTGACAGAATTTTCATTTTGGGGTGAACTAACCCTTTAAATGTTGATATAATGTTTGAGGCTTGATGTCTGTTGTGTAACAGTCCATGTTGCATAGCAGTGATATTACAATACTATATTTTTCTCACCTGCCCTGTCTGGCTGCTTTTTCCCTCAGTGTGAGCAGCAACAATTGAATCTCTGCTTTTAGCAACTCTTTAACAGCCGGGGGGTCAGCCAGAGGGATCACAGGGGCTTCTGGCCTGCTGCCCTGCTCTGAGTAATGGAGCTCCAGCCAAATCTTCTCCCACATCTCCACCTAGAACAGGTCAACAGAGGAAAGCGTTAACAGGAGAGTGCTATTTGGCTCAGCTTTATATGAAATGCACTTTCCAAATCCATGTTACAAGCTGCTCTACAATTGGATAAATGCACACAGTTGGTTAACATCCCATCACAAACAACGTTTATCTCTGAAATGGGTATAAGAAACTGAAAATTTCAGAGAATCTCTCTCTCTCTATATATATATATATATATATAAATCCATGTGTTAATCTCACAAAAGCTCCAGCATGTGAGGTGAAAAGCCAGCTAGGGAAATGAAAGCCTGTCACGGCACTGGCAAACAATGTCTGCACTCTATTACCAATCTCCACACCTGTCTTGGGACGTTCAAGTTTCCCTCGGACTCTGAAAATACACTTCAAAGCTTGTCGAAGGCAATGCAAGACAGAGTAAAACCAGCTCCCTGAGAATTCTGATCCTGCTGTGCCTGCATGAAACCAACTTCAAGCCTTCATAACTTCAGCTTCTTCTTATTTCCACTGCAGAACCTGGGGTTTAGGATGTGCACAGGCACTGGAAAGACATTTCTGTGAGGATGCAGGCTTAAAAAATACCTAAATGCAAACTTTAATACAAACAAGCCTTTTTCTTTTCTCTTTTCTTGTTTATTGATTTTAATCTTTGTACTGAAAAATGTTCTCAAGGACAAGCTCAAAGGCAAACTGAGAGAGGAAAATTGACAGAAAAGCAAGAGTCTTAAAAGAGTAAAGTTCCTTCCTTGCATTTTTGTTTTGCAGCATAGCAGTTATACACTTTACTGGTGTTCAAAATAGGTCTTCCTGACAAGGTAAGAATCCCTTGGTTGCTAAGACATTATCATAATCACTATTTATACTGTAGTAAAAATGTATAAAATTCCCTTGAACACACATTCGAGGCATGCCTTTCTATGTAAAACAAATCTTGTAAGTCCTTATGAAGAGCTGAGGGGGTTATAAACAGAAGGTCATAAATTCTATTTAGTGTTCAGAGGAAGGAGGAATCACATAAGTCTTCAGAGACAAGTTTCCACCCACTATTTCCATATGGAAGGCTGTCTGCGTATACTGCGTATGCAGTTTGCGAAAGACAATTTATCTTTGAAAGAGTCAGCTCTGAAACAGTCCCTGTATCTGTTCAAATAAGGTTTGCAATCCATGCACTGCCACTGATTCACTCATGGAAGTTGTAATTCAAAACTGGTTAAAAGTTACATGTTAAGCACATGGAGCTTGATGGAGACTTTTCTCTATGTAAAAAAAATAATAATAATAATAAATCATAAAACAAATGCATTTATGAATGCAGAGCACTACACTGTATATATATATATATATGTATATATATATATATATATATATATAATAAAATATTAAACATTCGATATTAAATGTAGCCACCACCTGAAAGGATGTTTCCATTTACCTTTCAAAAGAAAAATAAACTGAATTAACATCAATTGGTGAAGACATAAATTATGTAGTATGGGCTTACAGTTATTTTATAAAAGATTAAATGATTGACCAATCACAGACGTCAGCGATTACATTCTGTTCTAGGCTACTAGACAGTCTAATGCATAAATATGCTTCATACCTCTGAATACAACTCTGAGTACGTATCAATCAATGCATCTCCAAGTACTGCTCGGATCTCAGGAAGCTCAGAGTAGGGAACATTTTCCTTCACTAAATTCCACACAGATTGTTGGCGTTGGAAATTGTCCATGAGGCCGCTATTTCAAGGACTGAGCTGAGCACAAAAAGCTCACCACTAGAGTGCATACGGTGTGCTCATACTGGAGACAAAACCTGTAGATAAATACATAGAACAATAAATAAATCCATAAACATTTCAAAATATCATACAGCATTCAACGGCAGTGGTGCATTGTACAAAGCGATAGAGCATGATAAACAAACAAATTGGGTAGCTAAATAAATAATTAATTAACTTTGGCAATAACACGTTAAACTAATATTTGGTGGCTTTAAACGTTCATCACGATAATGAATCAAGCATGATCGGATAAAGCTGGCATACATTTGTGCAAGCAAACATACGTTTTAGAACTAGCACTGGCGGATACTCACCAAAACGTTGTGGCTTCCTGTATCAGTGTAAACATTCCTGTTCCTATGGAGACAAACTTACAGGACTCGTGATAGTGATCTTCATTAACCCGTTCGGAGTCGGACCTAGTGCAAATTACAAATGACCATCTTTTTTCTCAAGTGATTGAATCATATTAATACTTAATATTTGTTTAGAGTTGTATGCCAGAATGTAGGGGTTTGCATTAACTTTTTTATAATATAAAAGTTATGTGTGTTTGTGTGTGTGCTTTTTAAATTACGAACAAATTCATAATATTTAGATGGCGCTGAAGTGAGGTAGTATTGTCATCATGGGCACGATCTATTAAAAAATCATTAGCATATTCAGAGTAGAAAGCATTGTGTCACTGCATCTAAAACTTATGCAGATACTGCATAAAACGAGCTAGGTTATAAAAGCAAATATAACCATTTTAAACTCTCAATATACACACAAGCTGCAATAAAAGCGAATGACTACTACAGCCTATCAATATTCTGCTATTCGGCTGTCACGTGTAAATTGAAACAAGTTCAACCCAGGAGGAGTAAAACTTTCCCTGTGCGTAACTGAATCCTAAGCGCGCACAGACCATTCTGACAATGAAACGCTTTTAAACTTATCCAGATTAGTTAAAAAGACGTGTAGCAAGTTATTTAAGATAGCATAGCAATATCTATTTATTGGCAAGTCTTGTTTTGGGACTGAAGTTTTCTGTAATGGGCATGGCTGTAATCTGGGGTTCCCCGGGGAGTTTTCTTCAAGTCTTGCTTACCCTGTTAATCTGCGGACAGTGTGCTGTGGCTTTCTCGGGCGCTGGACAACAAGAGACGACCTGTGAGGCAAACGGCAGTGTTTATTATGTTGGCGAATGGTACTTTTTAGACTCAGATCATTGTACCCAATGCGAATGTACAACAGACGGGTCTGCTTGCGCGCGGACTGAGTGCGCATCCCTGCCTGCCGCCTGCATCCATGTCAGCCATTACCCGAAAGACTGCTGCCCGATATGCGAGAAGATCGGCTGCGAGTACGGGGGAGAAGTCTACGAGCTGGGGCAACACTTTAAGGTGAACTTGTCTGTAAGACTCTGCATACAAAGGTCACATATTAGAAAGAAAGAACGGGAATTAACAAAATTACAATATGTGTACACTAAGTTGACGGATTTAGGTCTTAATGCTTTCTAACTTTAATATTTTTTTGTTGTAATTGCTCTTTTTCGAGCCCTTAACATAGTGACCAAATAAAAGTGTAATAATAGACCGTAATTCCATCGCCAATTGTTTTAAGATGAGTGACTGTTAAAGGAAAATTCAGAATATAGCGCCATCACGTGGCTCATGATAAAGTTAAAGGGACAGTTCACCCAAAAAATTAAATATTTGTCATATTTTACTCACCCTCATGTTGTTCCAAACCTATAGTCTATGAGTTTCTTTCTTCTGTTGAACACAAAAGAATATATTTTAAAGAATGCTGACGGTACCAGTTCACGGCACCCATTGACTCCGATATTTTTTTTCCTACTATGGAGGTCAATAGGTGCTGTTGAAGCCTATAGTTCACACTACATGGTTTTAAAATGTCTGGGTGAACTGTGCAGTTCACACTACACAACTTGATTTCTGTGAAATCGGGAGTTTTTTTTAAGTTGTTGAGTTGTTTACACCACATGACTGATCTGCAACAGGAGGTAACGCACTACACGAGTTGACAACAACTCTGTCACCCAACGATTCTATCTAGTCTACAAACCACGTTTTGTCAAGAAAAATCTGCTATAAAACAAACCAGAAATGACGCGAAACAGCATGTGCGCCAATACGCAGTGAAAAAGACAAAGAACACAACACACGAATATGGACGTCAGACAGAAACTAGTGCTTTAAACTGTTTGTGTGATGATTTGCTCTGAGAAAAAACGCAAAAAAAAGAAAAAATAAAATTTACCCGGTGACCTCAACCCATGCCGTGCTCTGATTGGCTGTAGCTCATGACATCACTGAGGTTGAGTCGTGCGACAGCTCTGGATATCTAGCATGCTAGATATTTTTCTGGGTTCGGTGATGCGTCTGCAAATGTCTTTGGTGCGTTGTTGGGTCTTTCATACTAACAGATTGGCAAGCGTTCAGCCGCTAATCCCCCACGATTTACACGTGATAACACCCTGACCTGTCGGCGAGCTCAACGATTTGCAAATTGGGCTTAAAATCATGTAGTCTGAGCTTAACTGTCTGGTTACCGACATTAGTGCTCAACAGAAGAAACTCATACAGGTTTGGATCAACTTGAGATTGAGTTTCATTTTCATTTTTGGGTGAACTAACCCTTTAAGTTGAATGTTTTATTTATTTTATTTTTTTTGTAAACTCAGACTAAAAGTAGTCCTTTATTTCTGAAAGATAATAGTTTGATTTGAGCCAATTCCTACATACCCATTCATATGCATAATTAATCATTGTGCAAGTTAAAAGCTAATACAGTAGGTTTCTTGTTCTGAGTCAAGGTGAAGAACAAATATGATGCACACTAGACTGGAATCACAAAGGGCAATTTAATACTGTTTAAGGAATTGAAGAATGAAATATCCCTAGTAGCAGAGGCTTGCAAGAACCGGGCTTATATGTGCTTCATTATCTCCTTGATTTGGTTATTATGGCTAATGGGGAATCCTTGAAGGGAAAATTGAAGCCTTCTGACAGACTCCAAGGAATACACTTTGCCTGAGCTGACATCATTTTCTTCCAGTCCATTTAACCCAACTTCCAGTACTGTCTGAGCCACAGGTGGTAATGTGGCTCCTACTTAAACAGCCGTGTGGGAGTGGAATTTGATTGCATTTTCATATTATAGGGTATTTAAACGCTTTTTTGGATTGGCACAACATCAAATGTCTGCATTAAGCGAGCAATTTGATAGTACTGCTGGTTCTGTTTAAAAAGCCTAAACAGAACCAGCAGTACTATCCTGAAAGAATAGAGTAATACATGTCTTTTGATGGAATTGCAAATTTTCAAATGATGATTTACACTTGATTTACAGCCCTCAGCCTGCCATCATTGTACCTGCAACAGCGACGGTATCGCCCACTGTCAGGTTGCAGACTGTGTCCCTCCACCATGTGTTAATCCAGTCTATCAGGAAGGGATATGCTGCCCTCAGTGCATGGATGGTAAGGTTATTTTAGAATTTAAAAGAAAACTTTGCCATGTCTGTAAGGCGGCTGATTAAACTTCTGTGCAATTGCCTCGGTCTTGACCAATGCAGTATGACATTCTCATAGCCTCCACACATACATGGAGGGCACAATTGTGTTTGGTCTTTGGTAATGATGCTGTATGTAATATCTTCATATAATTCATTCAATAACAGATGGGGAGGTTCAGATGCTGGGCCATGTGCTACACTGGTTTCTGCACCTGAAATAAGATATCGCGCCTTATGAGCTTACCTTTCACCGTATTGTTTTCTCTGTACACTGTGAAGTATGAAGGCAATTATAGAGTTTACAGAGGCTAAAGATAAGGCAGGCAGGCAAAACAACACAACACACATAAATTAAAGCATATACTTCACCAATGTGATAAATGCTCAGTTCCTCAAATAGTTGCATTTTTGTAGATACAAATTGCCTCAGTGTTGGAAAAAGTTTTCAGTTAATCTAAACCAACTTTAAAATTAAAATAAAACGGATCGGTTTCCTAACGTAACCTCAGTTCTGTCTAGAAGAGGGAATGAGTATTGTACAAGTTAGCTTACGCTACGGGAAAGATTAATCTTTCCGAGATATTAAAGCCAAAAATTCTCCTTAATTTGTGTATCCATTGTCAAAGCAGTGCAGCAGCTAGCAGACTAAGAGCAGGCTGACTAGCGTGCTCATTGGCTGCCCTGAGGCAACTGTAGCAGCATGATGTCACGCCCAATTAAGGGCGTTAGCACCCTCATCGCATCACAACCTGCTAGAATGGGCTTGGCTTAGCGCATATAAGCGGGGGCTCGGAGGCTGTTTCTCTGGTTTTCATCGACTGAGGTGAAAGTCGCTTGTGGCGCGAGCACGGTTTTAAACGGTTTAGCGCCCTGACTGAGCAGAGGGAACTTTGCTCTCGCTATCGGATGATGTCAAAGCCGATAGAGAAATGACCTGCGCTCTGAAAGGAGTGCCAATCACTTTAGGAACATAGCCATGTCTAGGTTTGAGGATGACTTTAGAGTCATTTGGCCCAAACTAGAGACAGCGCGTGTAAGTCCACCACACGTTTAACTGATGACAGAGCAGTCAGAAAAACGGTTTTGAGTGACCTTAACTCGACATAATCTAGTGGCTCAAAGGGAAAAGCTTTCAGGGCCTTGAGGACCAATGAAAAATCCCACATAGCAACTAGGGGGGAGGATTTTTCCCTCTGGCTCCTCTAAGGAAGCAGATGACAAGCTTGTTTTTTTCCTAGTGACCGGCCGCACGTCCACTCTGCAAACGCTGCAATGGCCGCCACATAGACTGTAAGCTTGGATGGGGACCTCCCCTTATACAACAGCTCTTGTAGAAAACTAAGCAGGCGCAAGACCCCACATGCCCATGGGTACAGATTTTTGTCGGTGTACCATTTGGAGAACACAGACCATATAAACGCGCAAGTTTTCTGGTAGAGGGAGATCTAGACTGCGTAATTGCTGCGTAATTCTGCGTAATTCACTCCTTCTGGCAGGGCAATGGGTACCCGTTGATCAACCATGCGTGTAGAGACCAGAGCTCTGGATGGGGATGCCAGATTGAGCCGCGAGCTTGAGAGAGGAGAACTGTTCTCACCGGAATTGTCCCTGAATAGTTTGTCTGGGCCATCATTCAGGTGGCCTGGCACATGCACAGCTCTTAGCGAGCACAGATGATGCTGAGACCAAATGAGGAGGCGTTCTGTTAGATTGCAGAGGTACCTGGATCTGACACCGCCCTGACCGTTCACGTAGGACACCACTGACATGTTGTCCAAACGGACTAGAACATGGTGGTCCTGTATGAATGGGAGGAAAACGCTTCAGCACATTCTCGACCGCTGTCATTTCCAGACAGTTTATGTGAAGGAGCTTCACTTGGTCTGGCCACAGGCCAAAGACCAGTTTCCCTCTCGAAGACAGCACCCCAACCTGAGATTACCTTTCGGTATGAGAAAAAAAAATAATTCTGGAATCACAATTAATTTGGGTTATTTCAAAATATTGCTACTCTCAGTTTCTCTTAATTTATTTTTATTTTTTCAAAGTTCAGAGCATACTAGAAGAAATATTATATCATATGTGGATTAGTGTTTACACTTGTTTGAGAAATCAACCAATGAATGTCTTTTATATAGCTGGAATAATTCATCTTACAGATAATGGGCTTCATTAATAAACTCTCTCTTTGTGGCTCCAGGGCCCAACTGTTACGTGAATGCCTCAAGGACCCAAGTGATCCCTGGAGGCGAGCCAGTGTGGGTCGACTCCTGTACTAAATGTCGATGTCATGAAGAACAGGATGCAGGTTATTGGGAGGGCCACCGTCTGGCAATGTGTTCCCATGTCCGCAACTGCCAGCCTGATGAGGGCTAAACTGAGGAAAGAGGTCAAAAATGGGGTCATCTGTCATCCCAATTTATAAAATGGATGACAAAAACTTAGCAGATATCTAAACCACACATTTCCTGATGAAAGTGTTGAGGATATATAGCCCACAACTTTTTCATTATTAACCCTTTCACATTCCAGTTGTTAATGTAAATTGAGTGGGTATATTATTTCCTCGTCTTACTAAGGGATATTCCCTAATGAACCAGGTGATAGAGCTTAGTTTTGAGACACCTTTTTGGCATGGTTATAAATAGCACAGTGAGCATATTACATTGTTCATATGCCTTTTAGTATACAGTGCAGTTGTGTTTATAAAACTTTGACATTGCATGGGCACTGTGCAGTGCACAATTGCACCTGCAGATGTGATGATCTTACACTAATCTTTGTGATTGTTTTTTTTTTAATATTTATATATATGATTTTTAGTACTGTTTTTTACATAGTTGTCTGCTTCAAATGCATGAAAACCAAAGTATATTCAGATTTCAAGGCTACTGCTATGCAAGCATGAAAACAGCTAATGTAGCATGAAACACAAACAAACTGACCTATAAGAAATGAATCATATATAAATAAAGCAGACCCATTTTTGCTTTATTTCTGCTCTGACACTTCATTCAAAGTTGTGGGAAAATTGCTACTTTTTTCAAGGCCTGCATTTGCAGCAATGACACAGAATGTACACAGATATGAATAAACCATAAGTGATCTATGTGTCTTGTCTTATTATCCCATATATAAATCTGGAGGATGTTTGTGGTGTTATATCTGCTAGTTTATTGCAAAAAAAAAACTTTTTGAGGAACATATTATTGAGTTTCCTCCGCATGGCTGACAGTTTAGAGATACGATGTTCCCTTTCCAATAAACTGCCATGTCTCAGAGCAGTGATTTGGACTGGTGCTGTAAAAAGGTGGGTGTTATAATAATCAGGTGTAAATATGAGATGTATTACTTTGTTCAAATCCATTTAGCCTCAGTTTTCTTACAGTATAAACGTATAGACGTTGGCATTCTACATTCTACATTCGTTGCACCCAAGAAATCCAGTAACACACCATCAAGTTCTTGTAGCATCAGATTTATTGATTGTATACAAAAAGTATGTTTGATATGACATAATGCATTCTATATAAGATCTAGTATTTTTGACATTCATGTACAAAAAAACCTAGCAAGTCTTTAAAAATGTGCCCCAGACATGAAGACCTGAGGCCAGTAGTTTCTTATGCAAGTCATTGTGTAGGTGTGGAATACTTTCCCACTTCTGTTTCTCTCTCACATAAACAAGCATCGAGCACAAGATGAAGTTCTTTCCAGAGAATGACTGAGGGCAAAAAGGAAGATGAAGGAGAGTGTGTGTGCGCGCGCGCGAGTTCTCGGGATGGGAGGGTTTGCTGACCCAAGGGTGAGATAAAAAAATGGTATCACAATAAAAAGCGCATTCATTGTGGCACTGGTGTGATTTCGCACTATAAAGCAAGAGTTGCTGAAGTGAACGGTGAATATATAGCATCCTGATCTCAAGGACAGCATTTGTGCTTCGCAAGGTTGGTAATGGGAGTTGTGCGAGCTTCACTTGATTGCATTTGTTGGCACAAGAAATATGAAAAACATATTAATGGAACAATAAGATGATTGTATATAGGTATAAATTAATATACTTTTATAAACGGCAATAACATTTCGAATATTATTGAAATCCATTCAAAAGACTAAAGAATATATCTATAGTGTAGACTTTAATGCAGCTTATTTGCCACTGGGGCAATATAAGAATGAATTAAGATCAAATTAATAAACTGTATCACCAGACTAACTTTTGAAAAAGCAGTTTTCACCACATACATTTTTCAGAACATTGCCCTTAAAGGTGCACTCAGTAATTTTATAAATATGTAGATAAAAGAAATCTCTTGCACTCTCACAAAGCCTGCAAAAACAGTAATATTGTGAAATACTATTAAATACTGTTTTATATATTTTAATTATGTTAAAATGTCATTTATTGCTGGGATGGCGAAGGTAAATTTTCTGCAATCATGCTGATTTGGTGCTTTACGAAACATTTCTTATTATGCTGTGCTGCTTATTATTTTGTGGAAACAGTGATACTTTTTTCATTATTCTTTTAAATTTGAATTATACTTACACATTTATACACACTGTAAAAATGAATATGCTTTATCTAATCAAAAAAATTGTGGCAACAGATTGCAAGCAATATTATTAATTAAATTTAACAAATTATAATTTAGTAATGATTAATTAAATTAATTCCTTAAAAGTTAACCATTTAAAATGAGTAAAACTTACAACAACCAACCCAAAAAAAAAAAAAAAAAAAGTCGCCATTATGGTGATCGGTGTTTGTTTTAAAGTTACGGTTTTCTCCTACTTGAATTCCTTCTAGCTCAATGATAGTATCAATTTCTTAAAAGAAAATGAGAAAAACATTTTTTGAACAGTATATAGCTAACAAGTGAACAATTTCACTTGTGAAATAAACGTGGTAAATCTATGATGATCCATTACAATCAATGCAACCAACAAAAATGACTGAGTACACCTTTAAATTGAGAGGTATAAAAATAAAAAGTTTCCCAAAAAATGGCTATACATTCGAAAGTATCTGATGTGTCAGGCCTGATATGTGTCTCTCCAATATGTTGGACCCTTTTCACCATATGGACTGCTTGATTCCATTTTTTAAAACAATTACGATAATGTAAATGAGAAGCACTATTTTTTTTTCTCTCCTTCAATTTAATACGTGCCTTGATACAAGAACCAAAAAAAAAGAAATAATCTCATCTCGCTCCGACTCAAACCGATTCCTTTTCATTTGCCAAGATATTTCGGGATGAGCAAAATGTCTTTTTAATATGGATATTGGCTTGAAATCTCATTCGAGTTAAAAGGTTTCAGGATTCAATGCATTCTGCAACACTGTTCTGAGCATTTAAAATACAGGTCACAGAGCTATAGTAAATATTACTGAATATAATCAATGAAAAGTTCTGAATACTCGACTATGTGCAAAGAAAGGGCATACTTCTTTAAATTAAACTATAGACATAATCTTTAATGCTATTAATGCAGGGAAATTCAAAGAGCTTAAGGCAAAATCGTGTCAGGTAAGTTTTAGCAGTTATTTTGCTAGATGGTGTATGTACAGTACAAACACGGCATGGCAGAAGTGGTGCACTTTTAACTGACAGGTAGTGGCACCAATGAGACAGAGGTGATGAAATACTTAAGGAGGAAACCAATGTAAGACAGTGACTGCTTGGGTCAGCAGTTAAGACAGTACAAATGCACACACAGAAATGAAATAGGTTGGTGAGGCTAAACTGAAAGGCATGAGAAGAAAAGAAAAGGAAATGTGTATTTTAAAAAGGTCAGGGAGAGTGTCTGGGCTCTCATTAATGACTTCCTCTGTGCTGGGCTGAAAGAATCGTTGATAGCACAAAAGAACGTCCACACACTACGCAGGAAAGCCGATAAGAGAGAAAAAAATAGCTAGCACTCCCCTCACATTTACCCCTCATAAAACATCTGAAGGCATCAGCTTGGTGTTTTCAGGCAGTAAAATAAAACGGAACTGTAAAACAAGTTTTCAAAGTGTAATGGGGTCCAAAATGAACATTCACCAAATGCCAATTGCGAGTAAAAAAGGACGATGACACTGGATGAACATTTTTAAGACTAGTCCAATCTTTTGTTCATATATGATTTTGTTTTATTTGTTTTTTGTCCACCCGAACTCCTTATTTGACACATAAATTATTGATCAAAAACAATTTTTCAAAAAGTTTTTATGTTTTGATCAAAATCTTTTGTTTTTGATAAAAACGCTCACCAAGACAGCATGTATTTGATTAAAAATACAGTTAAACAGCAATGTTGAGAAATTAATTAGAATTTTTAGCAGCAAAGACAGTCTTTCTTCAGTATCAAGAAATCCTTCAGAAATCACTCTAGTATGCTGATTTGGTACTAAAAAAACAATACTGAATTTAAAGAATTAATTTCTTGAATAAAAAAAATCTTCTAAAACCCTACACTTTAAGATATAGGCCTTGCCCTTGACATAAAATAAAGTATGAAAAAATAAAGTATGAAAAAAGTAAAATAGGACTTTTTACAAATCAACAAAGGCTGAATTCAGCTTCTAATGATCTGTGCTCTCACAAATATGAAGAAAAAATCCCCCCGCCAATGCCAATATTAATTCCTGGCCAGAAAGACATAATTGTGGTCTGTAAATTTTCTAAATTAACTCAAATTGGCAGGTTGGAAAAAAGGTTGATTTTGGACCCTGGGTGACTATTTTATGATACTGGAAATATCAAACCAGAATTTATATATAGCCTCTGTAAATGATCCTCAGAAGAGATGCGAGACTCAAAGACTGAACGATATGTGCATTATTTGATCAATGCACTCAAAACTAACTTCATCCTTCAAGTTTTTAAAAAGAAAGCATTGATGTATGACGGGTCTAAATATGAATCTTTGAGGCAAATGAGAGTAAACAAAGAGAGAGTGGCTCATCATAACACAGTCAGTTTTGAGAAGGTGGTGTTAGATACAGAGGTCTGATCATCAGTAACTTCTACAGAAGCTCCTCTATCTCCAAGCGAAAGTTCTTGCCATTTCTTCGGGCATCTACACGGCAGCCAGAGGATCTGCAGTGACAATCCACTTGGGTCATATTGACTGACACAGTACATGTGCTTGTAGGACTAGTCAAGATCCAGTCTAATCACATTACATAATTGTCCCCCGAGTTCTCATGATAATACCGCGACCAGAAATGGTGAGAAGTGTTTTCATGGTTGACGAAATTCAGCTTAATCCCGAGAGACGATTCAAAATAAAAGAGAGAGCAAGAGATAGAGATAATCCAAAGAGCCAACTTCAAGCACCAATTTATCAACCTCACATGATCCACCAACATCTGTGATACGAAAGAAGAGATTTGAACACTGCAAGCATCGCAGGTACAAAGACACATTCGCTTTTGAAATGTACAGTATGTTCTGACGGACTTACATCAAGTGACCAAGCAGTTCTTTGTAGATCATCGTCAGATGTTACTCACCTCACCTGAACAGTCCTCCTGCTAACAGCCTAAAAGCTTGTATTGATCCTCAAGGTCTGAAAAAACAGCCTTTGGGGTATAACGATGATGTTTCTGTCCTTCCAGACACCGCGTGCACATCTCGATCTGGATCAGGATAAGAATCCACAACAAGCTTCCATGTATTCCTGAGAACTATCCAGCATATCACTGCTGCATCATAGGAAGATGACCCTGGGCAGAGTTTGTGTTGTGTGTGCGTGTGTGTGCTGAACTTTAGCAAGGTCATGGCCTCTCGGTCAAGACCTGGTAGCTTTCTATCCTTTGAAGGGTCTGGGAGGAGGCTTGCCGATTTCTACGGAAATGTTGGTATAGAGCGGATACTTCTTCACTGACACCACTCTGTACATCAGTGAGCTGATCCCATCTTTCCTCATGGTGTTCTTGGTGTTCTGGATCTTACTGAACCTAAAGAAAGAAGAAATTCAAACCGTATTAGCTGTGTCATGGATTTACAAAAACTGAAGAAACAGAGAAAATTCACTTCAAACTAATTGTTGTCTCTTAGTACCTTAAGGGTATGTATTACTATTCAACTAAAATGCCACTTTTAGGGGTTGATAAGATACAAAGTCAACCCTTTAAGGATAATGCACCAGTGACAAGCTGTTGTACCCCATTTTTTTCTGTGAAATACCAAAAGTCATTATGGACTTATAATCTTCTCAATCTGCAGCTCTGAAATTAAATATGGCAGCATTTGCTGCAGATTGGAAGTCGATAATCTCAATGGTTCTCCTGTCTTGTAACTAAACACCATGACCTGCTCCATATAGGTGCCATCATTGATTTCAGAGCTGAAGATAAAATGTATGAGTTAAAAGCATTGATTTTGGGTCTATTCATAACACAAAAACATAATTTGGCTTCAGGAGACTTGGGGTATACCGTCCATATTCACTGAAAAATGTAAGATTCTATTAAAAATGTCTTTGTGTTTCAAGGAAAATAACAGGTTTGGAACACCATGTTTTTGATGGACTATTCCCTTAGCAAGGTTCAGGTCTCATGCCAAATGTATGTTCAAATGCTTAACTGCCACAGCATAGAGCTAGTCATGCCAAGCTCTTTGGTCTAACTTCCAGGAATTGTCAAACTGATAAAACAGATACTTTTAAGTCACTTCTAAATAATAATGTCAAAAAGGGTAAGTAAGTATCATAATACAGAGCACTTACATAGGGTTATACCAATGTCAACCAGCAGGGGGTGAAATAACATTTATAAAAATGCACAGAGCATCACTCTCACAAAGAAAAAGAACAAATTGACCACAGTTATAATGTTTTAAAACAACAAACATACATTTTATGAGCCACGTTGAACATTTTCAAACACTTTATGCAATATAACAAGTTTTTACAATTTAATACAGCGGAGAAAAGGAGCATTTTGGTTTGGGCTCTGGAAGATAAGAGAAAAGGAGATTAGGATATGAGACTCCCGTAGTTTATCAATAAAATGAGAGGTTCCTTAATCAAAGTATAGGAGTATTCAGGAGCTGTGCTTCCCCAGTAGTGTTTTATATTACATCTCCATCCCTTAAGACACTTTAAATGATATTCACTTTAACAGTTCTGCCTTAGCCAAAGATTAACTGTACTAATAAATAGGACACTTGTTCTGAAATATGCCACAAAAGTAGGAAAGAGTTCAAGTTGTCCATTAAAGGGTACCTTGATTTATGTGACGCAATCAACTTCCATATCAGTGTAGGTACCACAAAGAATATTAGAGTCTGCAGATAATGATTTATGTACACTGCTTGAATGAAACTGGAGTATTTGAGATGGCTCACACTCTAGAATTAAAATTCATGCGGACCAGTGTGCCGTAGGACTAACTAATCTGGGAAAGGTTGATAAATAGTAGCACAGTTCCACCGGCAAGCATAGCTTCTCATTATGGAGGTTGATGCTCTTCTGCAGATTGACCAAACAAAGACGGCTGTGGCAGTAACAGAGCTGAGGAAAGGGGAACCATTCATCAATTCTTTTTTGCAACTCTTTTAAAACGGTGCGCTTGGCAAACGCAGCAATTTAAACCATGAAGTATGTCTAAAAAACAAATGACCTAAACCTGTGTGACAGGAAATTAAAACAAAACTTAAAGTGCCAGGAAGTTATCACAACCTAAATGATGCAGGAATTATCAGCTTCCCTATATGAAAATATGGATCAATATCAATCAGCACAACTGTGTTCAACTTTGATAATAATAAGGAAAATTGTATAGGTATTGGTCTATATTGGATATTTAATTGTGCATTTCATTTTATGTATACAGTATGCATACATATACATAAAATGAAATGCACAATTAAATATCCAATATAGACCAATACCTATAAAAAAAGCCAATAGCCAAAATGGTACAAACTGTATCATGCATAGATTAACCTGTTAAGCTGCAACCCACTTTTGAAAAAAGCTAGAGAAGAAATGGCATACCCAAACTGAAACAGATACAGTTCACCCTTTGTACTAAAAGCACAAGTATGATCTCAATTCAAAGCTGACACCTGGCAGTTTATTGTAAATGTAGGATTAATAGTCATAATGAAAAAAACGTTAAAAATGGCTTCAAAGTTTTGTAAAGTTATTAAAAATGTATTTTTATGAAACAAAAGCCATTTTTCTTTTGTGTGCATTATAATCACTGACGACTGGCTATTCACACTGTTTTAATCCCTCATTTCTTTTATCAAAGTTCTCACTTCACATTTGAACTGTATCAACTGCCCATTTTGTTTTGAAAAAAAAATAAATAAACATTTCAGTAAGCATTTACATAAAAAAAAACATAAAAAAGATGGGTGCCAGGTGCACCTAGAGCTAGCTAGCATGTTAGCTTAGCACACCATCAGACAATTTATGACGTTTGTGCTCCAAACTTACTTTAACTTACTCATTTGAGGTACAAAAATGTCATTAAAAAGACACACAAGGCCCAAGAATAAATGTATAACGTCTAGGTTGCGACTGTAACCTCTGTTCCCTGAGAACAGGGAATGAGACACTATGTCGATGACGCTTTGGGGAACGCCCCAGGCGTGACAGGCGTCTGAAATCACAATCAAATCACGGCAATCACATTGACCGGCGACAGCCCAGACATTTGATTGTGATTTCAGACACCTGTCATGCCTGAGGCGTTCCCCAAAGCGCCATCGACGCAGTGCAAGTTCCCTTTCGAGGGGGAACGACTAAATGCAAACTGAAGCTACATAAATACATTGTCCATCCTATGGTTATCGACAAATTACAGGGGAAATGAGGCAAAATCCTATACATTAACACAGGAAGTATGAAAAATGTGAATAAGTAATGGTTGAAAGAGCTGCATAAATAAATGTCAGTAATCCACAGAATTTCCCAAACCAGCTTTCTTTTATCAAATTTCCTGCTCAACTTTAAAAGGCTGTTAGGTTTGAGACTAAACCTCTTATCACATACAAACGAGCCATCTTAGAATAATCCCCACAAGTCTCTAATGGAGGCAATAAAATCTAGAGAGGAAGGGATCATACTCTAAATGACTTCCCATTATTCTAGTTATGGTGCTAATCAATTATTAATCAGATGCCCAGATGAGTTGTGACTCTACCACCTACACTGATGCATGTCTGTGTGTTATATCAGCCCTGTTTCAGAGATGCAGTTGAGATCCATCAATCTCAGACCGCACTTCCTGATATATTGATTGTCATTGAGCCACAGTGCCCACATCTGTGTCGATCTGTTGATGTTCGTCATGCACACGGATAGCTCACTTATTTTGTACATTTAAATGGAGCTGACTAACAAAATAAAACGGCTGCAAAATTGTATAAAATTGTATAACCATAAGTCTCTTATGCTCATCAACAGTAATATTGTAAAATATTAATAAAATTTTTAAAAAGATTATTTCAGGATCTTTCTTTCATGAATAAAACACAAAAGAAACAGCATTTATTTTAAATATAATGTTTTGTATCATTATTGTCTTTACTGTCACTTTTGATCAATTTAATGATTTCTTGCTGAATAAAAGTATTAATTTAAATGATTAAATTTCAATTTTAATCATTTTAATAAAAATATAAGAACCACGTTTAAGTGGTAGTGGTGCATCTGGGTTTAAAGACAAATTTCAATCAGCAAAAACTTTATAAAATTTGATATTAAATGTTTCTTGAGCACCAAAACAGCATACATAGAAGGAATTCAGCTTTGCTATAACAGGAATAAATGATAATTTAAATTTAAAATTTAAATGTAATATTTCACAATATTACAGTTTTTACTGTATTTTTGATAAAATAAATGCAGCCTTAGTGAGCATAAGAGAGACTTAAAAAATTAAATCATGTATATACTGCATATAGATAGATAGATAGATAGATAGATAGATAGATAGATAGATAGATAGATAGATAACCTGCAATGTATCTGTATCCTGTTTATTCCTGCAAGGTTTTGATAGAGTTGCCCTAGGTTAATTGAACAGCATAAAATAAATGTTTCAGCGAACGAAAAAGGGCGCATTTTCCGGTCTGATGGTTGTACTGAAGGTGGATCTCAGCTATCGAAACTGCATCATTTTACCCGTTTGAGACAGAACACAAACAAACGACCTGTCTGTGACAACAGGCCTACTTTAGCGTGACCTGTTTCAATTCATTAACTTCAGAAAAGACACCTCATTCATTTCTACCCATGTTCTTATGTCCTCTCCAGTGAAATTGAGTTTAGCATGCGCTCGTGGCTCCCTGGGTGGGCCCTGCTCATTACTTCGATTGTCTGAGCCACTTGTAGGAAAAAGACAAAAAGAACGAGGGAGACATAAATAGAGAGATAGCGAGTGAATGAGAAAGAGAGATCAAGGGGGAAAAGAATAAGAATGAAACTGAGCAAAAGAGAATAAATCACTGACTCTTATCTTTGCACAGTGAGAGCTGAGTGAAACCTCCTACCAGAGAAAAGACCAATCCAAACTTTTAATGGCATTTCTTTTGCTTCTGTCTTGCCATTTCGCTCAAAGCTTTCCCAAGATTGACAACCACCAAGAAAGAGTGGACCAACCTGCAACTGCAGGAATCGTTTTGCAATTAGTTTCTCCGCTGTGAAGCTTTTCTACCTGGGAACAATCTGGCTTTCAGCCCACCGTCCGAGGATAGGCTTATCGACTCATTGATTGGGCTATTTTACACACGGTGACGTCTGAGCTATTCAAGCATTAAGAACCTCCGCCAGCTGGAATTAACACACACACACAATCATATTTAGAAATATGACTGAATACATCTTAAAAAGAACATTTTTATAGCACCAGATAATTGAGTGACAAAAGCTAGATAAATTTAGCAATACACCAAACCAGCAATTATAACGAGTGTCTAACTGGGTGGATTATTACAGCTACTGCAATGTTCACAGTTATTAATGTTCTTTTGACAAAAATGTTTCTCAATTTCAGGCAATATTCAATTTCGTCTGTCATATTTTACTAAATAAAATAGATAGGGGAAAAAACAGCAATGCAAATTTGAAACCTTGTACCTTAATATAACAGCTTAAAATGGGTATCAGGCTGTGAGTGCAGAGACGCTCAGCGTGAGTGTTCTTTTTACGACAGTAACATTAAATACAAGTACTCCACAGCGACCATAGCGGTCGCTGTTTTGACAAAAACGGAATTCCTGCAAAGTGTGCCTTTAAAGCACAAATAGTTGTTGCTGCGACAAATAGTGAGATTTGCTTGTTTCTGAAGAAGTTGTGCTTGATATGCAGCATTTTTACCCTTCCAAATTAGTATGAGGAATTATTTGTTGTGTGATTTGTTTGTGCTGAATGGTTGCAGTTTAGAGCAATTCCCAATTTATAGAGGGCATTTTTTTTGTTCTCACACCCAAAGTGTGCACATAAAACAGCCTCTCAGTACTAAATTGAGTTCTTTTTCGCTGCTTAATGCGACTAAACAGTCAAATATACACAAAATAACACATTGGGCCACCTACTCTACAATATCATATTTTCTTAAACATTATATCTTAATTAAAATAGGTTCATTCTTCTTTGTTCTTTATCACTGAATTTTTTTGAAGATATAACCAAGGATGTACTATCAAACAAAATAACTTAAAATTAATAAAACATATCGCTCTTTAACTGTCAATTACAAACATGATTTGAATGTTGCATTATGTTAATGAAGCAAAATAGTACAGCAATAATTTGAATGATAACCCACTGCTGAAACTAGATCAGGTCTAGGCTGGTTTGGGGCTGACCTACTGTAAGTTGGTAGACCAGACAGACAAAACAAAACACCCACAAAACTTTCCATGATGGTGTTTGGATCAGTGAAGGTAATTGCAAGAATACAATCTGCCTGAAGACTGTAAAATGACAGTGATATCAAGCAATGTCTTATATCTGCAGTGCAAAAGGTTCTGCTGTATTTTAGATCAATAAGTCACAAGAATAGGATACTTTAAGTGGTGTGATTTAACTCTTCCTAACAGCGCTTCTTAATCTTAAGCATTCTCATGCAGAGGCGGTGGGCATTTCACATGACACTGCGATGAGGTGGCAGGAGAATAGGGTCTTACCTCTGGGGGTTTGGCTCATTGTGCTTGTCTCTCTCATGCTTGATCATCCTGTAGCGGCCGATTCTCACGTCAGGCCGAGACACTTTCATTCCATTTAGTGTGATTCTGACAGAAAGGGGGAGAACAATAGAGAAAAATTATAGTTAGCGTATATGAGTTTCATATCGACCGACTGATTGGCCTCACGTAGTCACAACATCGTCTGATGATGGTCATAGTCGATGTTTAGAGGAGAGACAGAATCACCCAGCTAAAATTACAAATACTTTGTCAGTTTTTTTTGCGTCCACCTTCACAATACAGTATGTTCAAACATGTTCAAAATATATACCAAAATTGATGAAGATCTTACATACAGTGCTATATCCATCATGCTGTTATTGTCCTTTGGTCATAAAAACATGAAAACAATACATCTAACCCTAAATAAAATAACAACCATGTGACGCAAAATATAATACAACAATACATTTTAATAATAATGGTTGTTAATAAATATTAGTATTATGATGGACTTTTTAATAATAATTCAGAATTGTTAATAATAATGATAATTATTTTACCACCAATTATTTTATCTTTTTGTTGCTGCTAATAAATTATAATAGACTTCTTAGTAATAATTAAGAATTGGTCATATTATTCTTATTTATATATTTCATTAGGGCCCAAGCCTTGAAAAGGCGAAGGCCCTATTGTTTTCGTTAGGATTATTTTTTTCTATTATTATTAGGGCCCAAGCCCTGAAAGGGCGAAGGCCCTATTGTTTTCCTTAGGATCATTTATTTTTTAAATGTTCTATCGACTATTCGGGCACTTTTGGGGCCCTTAACATGCTCAAAAACTCTTGAAACTTTGCACATGGGCCAGAACCCGCGGCCATCAGGGCCGGGCTGAAGCTGGTACCCGGGCGTGGCAGGGGGGCTCGACAGCGCCCCCTGAAATGGGCTCCGAAAACTTGGTCCATAAATCAAACACGCTTGCATGTAATAATATGAAACTCGGTACACATATAGATCTCATCGGTTCATATATACTTCACACTCTTACTTTTTACCCCAGCCCAACAGGAAGTCGGCTATTTAGGGTTGTTTGGAAAATGCACGCAATGGAATTTCAATGTTTTAGGTAACTAAAGGTTGCGGTGCCACTGGCTTGGGCCCGCAATCGCTGCTCGCAGCTATATTTCTTATTTTTATTGTTGTCATTTTGGACTTTTTGATAATAACTGAAAACTATTGTTGTTAATAATAACAATTATTATTATTATTATTGTTTTTAAAGATCATTTTGTTCTTATTTGGTATTCAAGTAGACAGACTTTACTATCAGTGATACTGACCATCACTTTAGGCTTTCACTAATTAACAAACAATGAACATCAAGTAGCTATAGCTAATCAAAGACTCGTTAACCCACATGAATGCCTTGCCAGAAAATGTCAAATGAGCAGAAAACCAGGCAGAATTAGAAAAAAAAAACAAAGCAAAACAAGTCAGTAACTGAGAACTAAGTCGGGAATGTTTGCTTAAGAGAGCAGTCAGACCACTCAGCTCCACACATACCCAGCCTGAAGTACAATCCCATTTGTTTGAGTAACTACAGCTTAGAGCGACTCAGGATTGCTTGAACAATCCAACCATTCTAATCTCCCTGCTTGTCTCCAGGTCTTGGCATTAGTGCAAATCTTATGTTTGTCATGTGAGCATCGTGTCATTCGAGCTCTGAGCCTCACGTTTCTGAGGGATGACGCCCTTCTTAAAGTATATGATTAGATGGAAATCCTTCCGAGGAGAATAAGGGCATGCCTATTCCTGTGTGTTTGTGTGGGATCTTATGATTTTTTAAAACATTTTATATAGCTCATCGTAATATTACAAGAGCAAGGCCTTTGTCATAAATAATGTAGCTAGGAGGATTGAAGGTAATCTCTGGGTATTCTTGACCCAGAAACAGAAAGGAGATTTCTGAGAGCCTGAGATTATAATGAGAGAAAAGACAATGCAAACAATAAAGACGACGGCATAAGAGAGTGGATTTGTAAACGTCACTGAGGACAAAACTTGATGCATGACAGTGACCAAATTTGCATGCAAATTCATTTGGATAGTTTGGATAGTAACCAGTTCTTTGTACTGTAAATTTTAAATAAACTGTAAAACAAGACTGTGCATTATAGATGATGCAAAATACTTCACCTTAGAAAAAAAGGCTATGTAGAGCGATGGTGCTTTGACAGATCCTATATTACTGAATGATTATCATATTCCATGGTATTTCCATACATTTAATAATATATTATGGGATTTAAGGGGTATCTATCTATCTATCTATCTATCTATCTATCTATCTATCTATCTATCTATCTATCTATCTATCTATCTATCTATCTATCTATCTATCTATCTATCTATCTATCTATCTATCTATCTATCTATCTATCTTAGATAGATAGATAGATAAATAGATAGATAGATATATAGATCTAAACAAGTGAAAATAACTATTCCAATTAGTTTCTGAAAAAACAAGATTTATTATTATTATTATTAATAGATGTTTAAATATTTTACTGAACAAAACAATAATACTGATTATGACTACTATAACTATATTTTATATATTCATATATTTTGCAATCTGGGAACATTGCCTAATTATGAATATCTCATATCTGAATTTTACTCAACTGCATTGCTGGGTAAAAAACTATTTTAGCTCTTCAGCTTTGATTTGAGTTTTGGAATCAGTTCAGTTTCCAGGTATTTGAAGGAGGCATAAAAAGATGACAAAAAAAACTTAGATAACCGTGTCCATGTTTGTAATTATTATTTGGTTGGCTCCTGTTCTGGACACCTGCAGTAATTTGGCTAAACAGCCATAAGCCTCAAATATGATGCTGGATTTGTGTTCATTATTATGCATATTACACACATATTCAGCGAGGAGCGAGCATTTTCATACTGGGCGATTCGTTCGCAGCAGTGTTCCTTGAACTCTCTGGCCTTTTACGCTCGGCTCAGACAGCTGTGATTACTCTGGGGCCGCCGCGCTTTTGAGAGTCGTCTGATTGGGCAAAAAGCTAAATGCTGTGCAGTATAAAGACTTTAGATCCATGTTGAAATCCATGTTGAAAATATGAAAGATGTGTGACTTATTTGCCACTGTATAGAAAAATTATTATTTTCCGTTGTTTTTTGGTAACAAACAAAAGATGCTACTAAACCTAACCCTTAGAGGCAAAGAACTCATCAAAACATCTGCAGGAAGAGAACAAAAGTGGAAAATATGGGGAAACACTCATTACGCCTAAAAAACAGAGCTCAAGCATTACTATTGTACCATAGTAGTGGTATATGATGAAATGGCTATGATGAAATGAATGAGATGGCAAAAAGTCAGTTTTTTAATTAAGGTAATCTTTGCCTGAATGCTGATGTAATATTGAATAGTGTTGACTGGAGATTTGTTTTTCCTTGATTGAATTATCTAAGAATTTTTCTAGATGCCCTTTCTTTCTTTCTACCTGCAGTTTGTTTAATTGCATTAGACCCTCAGAGTGGAGGGGAAATGAAATTATTACTATTACTTCATGTCTTGCTGGCAGTGCAGAAATGGAAAAGGAGCAGAAATAAAAGATAGGTCAGAGATATGGGAGTGAGACAGACAGACAAATGGTGAGGAAAGAGAGGAAAGTAAGAGAGAAAGGGAGGGATAGAGGAGTCGTCATATAAAATGGCAGAATAACTGACCTTGTCTGGCTTTCTTTTCCATTGCAGCCCTCCCCAAACACAATACCATTCACTCTCTGTTTCTGCTCATAAACTGTTTGGAATAAAATAGTACTCTACTCAGTTTTTTATCAGCTTTTTAATACATAATATATATATATATATATATATATATATGCACACTCACATTAATACATAGGGCTTGACAACGGGTGGATTTCAGCAGTGGCGTGTAACGCAGTCTATTCCTACTTTAGCAGGTTGAATTTCACATCATGTACTGTATCATTCTCGTGTATCTCTACATGCCCATGGTTGCACACAAACTCAGACTGGGACTGTTGAATGCCGTCAAAAATAGACTCGTTTTGGTCCAGTCTTCCCAAGAGTTGTTCATAACTATTAAATTTCAACTTAAAATCCACAGTGGAGCACACCTGTCTACTGCCTCTTTCTTGCTGCACTGTAAGGGAAATGTCCCTCCAGGGCTTCCATCCTCTCACAGATGGAACTACACAGATGTTGAAAATCAAAGAAAGAGTGACGGGCTGTTTCTCTGTCCACATGGCTAGAGGGGAGAGGAAAACTCTCCAAAGGCTTTTTTTAACTTCGCTTTTTGTTTCAAGCCAGTCTGACGGAACATTTGCTGTGCATGAGGCCAGGACACAGTCATCTGAGTCCACTATCCTCCCTCACACACATCCCTTTGGGCTATTTCTATCTGCAATGACTTCACTCTACGAATGCATGCAGCCATGACCTTCTGTCCAGCTTGAAGAGCACGATAGTGGCTGTTCTATCCATTAAGAAGGTTTTATAGATAATGCCTCTTCTGGTGACTTATTATTTTAAAAAGAACATTACTATGAAGCTGCCGTAAGAGGATTAAATACTTGACGACAGTTATAAGGGATTGTCCATATCCGGAGTTTGATGGCTGCCATCCAGATATTGATCATAAATAGAAATACTAAAAAAGGACACCAAAATAAATAAATCATTCATAAAAAATAAAAAAATTGTATTACAATTGTGAACTATATATTCAAATACAAGTATGTTCAAAAGTTTGGTTTAAGTAAGATATATTTTTTTTTAATCAATACTAATTTTATTCAGCAAGAACACATTAAATAGATAAGTGACCTTAAAGACTTTTATTTAGTTACAAAACAAATTGTTCTTTTGCTCCATTCATCAAAGTGTCCTAAAAAAAGCATTGCAATTTCAACATAGATAATAAAATGTTTCATGCGCACCAAATCTGCGCATGATTACTGAAGGATCATGGTGACATTGAAGACTGGAGTAAAGATGCTGAAAATGTTGCTCTGCCACCACAGGAATAAAATACATTAAACATATTACAATAGAAAAGTTATTATAAATTGTAATATTATTTTACAATATTACTGTTTACTACATTTAGGTTACTGTATTTTTGTATGATGAGCATAAGAGACTTGAAAAATCTTACCAACCCCAATCTTTTGAATGTATAAAAAGTAGATGTTTAAAGTCGGCATGACATCAAATTTGACTAATCTTATTTTTATATGTAATATTGTAGTGTTTATTATAAATGATTTATCTGTGCACTTCATTATTTTTTTAATTCATGTACCCTTATAATCTTTAGTCAAATACATTACCCTTCCCTCCCCCATCGAAACAACCTCTCTTCTATTTCGACACGTGCTATTTCGACACGTGCAACACGTGCAGATCTGATGAGGGTGCGGCTATCGGTGCACCACCTCTCAGAGAATCGCATTCAAATCTGCCGCCATTTTGTTTGCAACGTCCAACCTCCAACGATCCAATCAATTCCCGAAGGACGAAATCAAGCCCTGCCCAACATTTTTTTTTCCAATTTCAGAAGCCGTTTCACTCGGATATACGACACAAAAAGGAAAAAAATGACAATCTAAACTTCCGTTTCACACCGACTTTAAGTCAATATATAATACATGTTTGTTAATTAATAAAAAAAAAAGCCATTATAATCAGAGTGAAATTGGCTAAATGGCGAAAATACTTCCTAAACATATAGAATATTTTCCTCAACAGACAAAAACTATGACCATAGCAAAATGGTGTGAAAGTTAACAGTTTCAGTGCAGCTGCAAAATGACCCCTCTTACCCCGTCATATACATTAAATAATAATAATAATAATAATAATAATAATAAAAACAGGGGCAGAAATGGCTGCAGTAGCCTCTTGTCAATGGTGGCTGACCTTTCCTACTCCATTTCAGTGTGGCATCTTTGATCAGGCCTGCCACCGGTTTTTCCTTACGGCTAGAAAATACACTAAGGAATCAACTGTACTACAACAGGATCAGCTAAAACAAGAAACAAGGTTTCTGAACCAGCCAGCTGCCTTCACAAAAATAAACTAAAAACAGATTTTAAGAATCTGGCCTGCAGAATTTCAAGCTTAGAGAGGAGGATGTTCATTGGCACTTGGGCTCACACTGTCAGACCAGTGAACTTCAAATATGTGGGAAGAGAGAAAGTTGTTCTGACAGGAACTGGGAGTCCCTGGAGCCCCAGCAAGTGACAGTATATTTGAGTAAACCTCCACCCAGAGGACCTGAATGGACGAGAGTCTGAGTCTGTTCGTGTCTCTCCACCAGTCAGATGGGAATTCGAGGCAGAACACACAGCTGGATCCACAAGCCATTTACTCTTACATGTTATCTTTGAGGGACTATTCGCCTATTTGAAGAACTATATCACCACCCTTTCTGTGAAACAGCACACATTCAGTCTTCATAATATATCAATTCTATATTCATTCTAATATATCAAAGCTGTATATATCAATTCACAGTGGCTTCAAAAAGTGTTTGGTAGAACTACATTTCTCAAAAGGATTTTTACAGTTACTGGTCCCAAGCAAAACATTTTAGTGCGTGTGTAAAGTCATCTATATTTTATGATTTAAATTGTATAAAAATATTTAAATGAAATGCTTTGCTTTAAATGTGTGCTGTACTTCTTTCAATTATAGACCATTTTGCAAGATGTAAACAACACTGGTCCAGAAACACTTCCAGTTTGAAACTGTTTTCTTTATTTCACATGTAAAGAAAACATCTTAAAGATGTTTGTTTAACTTTTTGATTCAGTTTTATATTTTCTGTTGGTTGTATTTTATTCCAGCTTTTATGTAGTGTTAAAAAACTGAAACAGGAAGTGCTTCTGGACCAGTGTTGTTTACACCATTCAAAATGGTCTATAAGGCACTTCATTTTTGATCTTGCATTGCCGTGAACTTAATTTTCTCATGATTTGGACATGATCTCATTCCAATGATCTCAAAAGTTGTTTTCTCGAGATCTTGACTTAAAAGTTGTTTTCTCGTGGTTTTTCTTGCCATTTTTTCTTGTTTTCTTGGCATTGACTACAGCTAATTTGTGATTAATTCGCTTTCAAGAAGGCAGCTAAAACTTTGTTGTTGTAGATATACAGAGATCGCAAGAAAACAACTTTTGTTTTGTTGAGATCTCTTCTAAGAATAAAAGAAATGTATGCATGGCCACTTCTAAGCACTTCTAGGCTTCTAATGTATAATGCAATAAGTTCATAGACATGGATAAGTGTGTACTTTACATGTTTAATATTTACACTACCATTCAAAAGTATTTTTTTTTCTAAATAAATTATACTAGTTATATTTAGCAAGGAGCATTAAAAGTTAAAGCATTTTTAAAGTTAAATTTAAAGCATTAAAAGACACATTTATAGTATATAAAAAATATATATTTTAAATAGCTAAATGTTGTTCTTTTGAACATTCTATTCATCATAGAATCTTGAAAAAAACATCACAGTTTAAACACACACACACACACACACATAATGGGGAAGCAGCACAACCACTTTCAACATTCAAAATAATGAGAAATATTTCTTGAGCATCAAATCAGCATATTAGAATGATGTCTGAAGGATCGTGTGACACTGAAGACTGGAGTAATGATGCTGGAATTTCTGCTTTGTCATAATAGGAATTAATAAAATTTTAAAACATTAAAATAGAAATCCGTTATTTTAAATTGTAATAATATCTCACAATATTACTGTTTTACAGTATTTTTGATCAAATAAATCCAGCCTTGGTGAGCATAAGAGACTTCCTTTGAAACATTAAAAAAAATCTTACTGACCTCAATCTTTTGAACTGAACTTTTGTATATAAATATTGTATCAACATCAAATGAAACTGAAATTTTAATAATTTCTTGTCCTGCAAAAGTGCTCATTTCAACACAACTAAAACATAAAATGAGCAGTAAAAAAGTTCAAAAAGATTATATATATATATATATATATATATATATATATATATATATATATATATATATATAATATTGTATAATAAGAGCAGCAAAAATAAACTCCTTCAAAACAACATGGAGTCATTTATATTCTCTCAATAAAAACAGCTCAGTTCAAGAGGTGATCTCAGGGGAAGCTCTTGCTTGTTTATATCAAGCTATAATGCTTATTTTTACTTATATAATCTATCTAATTGTGTCACAAAAGCAGTTGGCAAAGGCAGAAAAAGATAACGGCGTGCATTATCAGACCATCCAGTTTCCGCCATATACTATCAATGCAACTCCAAACAACTGAAAAGAGTGACATATGGGACATTTCTCCACAAGTGTTATCGCTGTTGCAAATGTGTGCCCTGGTATACTGCAGGTTTTGCTCTCTCATCACCTGAGCGGGGAGAAATGATAGCTAGTGAACACGCAGCTATTCATTATCTGGAGAGACAGGCATCAGGCAGCAAAGCATCATCTATTCACACGTTTCTGTCTGGACATGGTGTAGATTTGTGAGTGGCGAGAATATATAGCTGTTCCCTGCAGAGCTGCATAACACAGAGAAAGAAAAAGACTAGTAAACAGCGCAAGGACACTGTTCAGTGACTAAGAGACGGTTTCTGATGACGCATAGTCGAGACTTTTTAACAGCATGTCTAGAACATTTCAAACACTATCAGACATCCCCAAAACAAAAGAAAAGATTTGACATTTGTTTTATCTTGACTTTAAGGGACCTTGGCTAAGGCACTTATAAAAGAGAAAGATGGCATATTTATTGACTTACCTGTTGTATATGTCGTCATCTTCACCTCCCCAGCCCCAATACTCATTTGGGAAGCCATTGATTTTGAGGAACTGTTTTCTGCTAAGGCCGGACACCCCTCCAAAGTACCCTGCATAGGGCAGCCTGCAAGAAGGAACAGACCACAGTCATTTATTCAGTTGATACAGATTTCAGCATTAAATCTGAGAGCTTTTGATACAAGTCTAGAGTGGAAACATCAATCTGTAGGTTCAGTTCTCTGAACTGAGCCCTTTAGTCAGCCTACCGAAGCCTTCGAATTTGACAAAATTGCATCTTGTATGAGTGATTCTAGAGAGCCACTGAGTCCTCTTACAGGGGATTCAACATTTTCAAATGATATCTGATCCTTCTTTCAACTGTCTTTCATCACTTCTCTCCTGGCTGCCACCCCTCAGGCCTGTCAGTTAAGCTACACAACTCCTGTAAAAGCTTAAGTGCGCCATAAACTGTAGAATCCGTCTCCGCTTGGAATACAGCTCACGGTGCAAGAGACCACTGTCAGATGAGAATTATCAAAGGATTCATTGCCTACAGGATTAAAGGCAGATATAAATATACATACTCCATTGCAATTCAAAAAGGATGAATTAAAAGGCCTTAGTGGTTCTCAGAACCAACACTCTAAAAAATGCTGGGTTGTTTTAACCCAACTTTGGGTCAAATATGGACTAACCCAGCCGTTGGGTTAAATTTTTACATTACATTTTTAACCCAACATTTCGGGTTTGTCCATATTTGACCCAAAATTGGGTTAAAACAACCCAGCATTTTTTAGAGTGAAGTTATGTTTTTGACCTTTAAACCACAGAGCAATATGAAACCACAGATTTATATTTCAAGAAGCCTTCAAATAAATGTTTTACTGGATGAATACAGTCTGGAAAAGCATTGAGCGATTGACATTGTCTCCATGTCTTCTATTTTAAAGGGGACATATCATGCAAAATCCACTTTTTTAGCCCTTAAATGCATTGTGTTGTATATTTGGAGTGTTTATAAGTACAGAAAAGATTAAATTATTCTCTTCAGGTGCGTTGTTGATATCTTTATATTCTGTTTTGCTCACATTTTGCAACCTGTTCAGATTTTTCTGTTCTCTATGACTTTTTTTTGAACAATTACATCACAGTATTTGCAGCGAAACTGACAAGGACATTGACTACTGGCCCAACACTTCAAGCAATCCGCCATTTTTTTTTCTCGCTCCGATTTTGTAGTCTAAGCTCAATGATGCAGAAGTTTCGGGCAAGATAAAATGTTCGAATGTTGAATGTAGTGCCCTGATGCAGATTAAGGATTCCAACTTCAACAACCTCCGCCTGTATAAAGAAGGGTTTGCCGATGGACTCGATCGACCGAGACGACGAACAGAGCATTTCGATAAGCTTTAATATCATTAATAAAAAATAAAGTACTTTACTTTCTTAAAACACATGGTAGTCATGGTTCAGCAGTACTTTTGTCTTTCTTTGTTTTTGTTTTGAAGTAACATTACACATCTGCAGTATTATTGTTCTTGAGTTTCATCAATGGTCATTTAGCTGCTGTGTTTCGTGATGCTTTTATTATCAGTACAGATTTTTTGTGGTAAGATTAGACCGTAGTCATTTATCTTGTCAGTGTGCTTGTTTTAACAAGAGAAATAATCAACTTTCCCTGTATTGTAACTAACACAATACAGTTACACACCATTGCAATACATCCATATAAAGACGTTGTCCTGCGGGTTCGACGTCGTCTTTTTCCACTTGCTCGCTCTAGCTCGAACATGTAAGTCTTGATGGACAAGTCTTCCGTTGTTGATATTTTGTTAACGTGTTGTGTGAATAAAAATGTTCTTTGACGCTATTGTATATAAACATATATCTTTAATCAAACTACAAAAATGGCCGAACGGGGTGGAGTTGAACCGACCGTGAACTCAGCAAACTGGAGAGCGGGTGGGGTGTGACACATCTCCTTTTTATTTAAAGAGACGGGTCAAAACGGGTTGCTCACAGACGTACATCAGAAATGGGGTAGAAAAGGGGCATGTGGAGCTACAGTATAATAATGAGGAATTCAGACCCAAGCATTGCAGTTATGCTTTATATAGACCACAAATGTATGATTTATATGTAAAATGAATGATTTAAAAGCATGATATGTACCCTTTAAGAGGCCTACTGGGTTATGGGCTGGCAGGTGCATCATGGGTAGCTGCCTGAGGTTTGCCTTGGGCTACTGCAATGTTTTACCAATGACAGCAACCACATTCACCTACGCAAACAAATGTGCGACATAAGGAAGAAAAAGAAGCAGGAACCTAGGCACACGCGCGCACACACACACCAACACTTGCTTGTGCATGCAGCAACCTCGCGTTAAAAGACAACAAGCTAAAATTAATGAGGCCATCTGCTACAGCAGAAGTCTTCACAGTATGGCTGAAGTTTCTTCACACACTCATGGTCTGAAAGCGTGCAATTCTCTAAAGGTGCCCCACTTATTAAATACAGCAACGTTTAGGTCTCCTCAGACTGGAGACACAAACCAATAGCGTGAATCACTCACAGAGAAATTGGAATTACTATCCCACTGACAGTTGAAGGCAGTTCATGGCTCGGAGAAGGTCAGTGGCAATTGTTTAGTAACATATTGTCTGGCTGTCTGCAGAGAAATAAAAACCAAGTTCAAATTTTGCCACAACACTAATCAGGTATTGTAGTTTTGTAAACTGCTGAGACAGAGCTTTGTTGAAACGTGGCCCTGAATAAAAATGAAGGAAAACATTGGGTCTCAATCACTAATAATTAAATTTGAACATGAATTTGTTCTTAACCCTCTCGGCAATCACGCTGGCGTGATCTGCTCACTTTTTTTCTTATCTGTAACGGTGGTGCGGTTGAAGCAAGGATAAGGCTGGATCCAAGTGCAACACATGCTTTATTTAACAGACTACAAACTTAAACAGACTAGACTGGATACAGGACTCGGGACTCAGGAACAACCAACATCAACGTTAACCATTCAACATTAAACACAAACTCACAAAGACAAGGCTGAAACACGGGGCGTAAAAGTTAGGGACAATCGAGCTAGACAAGATAACAACGGGGCGTGGGAAAACAGAAACACCTGGGATAACTAATGGGAGTTATCCCAAGACAGGGAACTATAGAACATGACAGGACACAAACCCACATCATGACACTTATCAGAGCAAAACAAACTCAAAATACTCTATTGATTTTGATCTTACATACAGTATGTGTTACACATCATTCAAAACTGTTAAATGTCTTTTATTTGTGTACACTCATAATAAAAAACAAAATGTTTTTTTTGTAAAATAAAGAAAATGAACACGTTTTCCTGTCTCTCTCGACAGAAAAATGACCTACAAGTCAGCAAATGCTTGTCACTGTGACATGAAACATGTCTTTACGAAGATTGAAGTCTCCATTTTTTTGGAGAAACAACACGTACATTTTCTCCAGCCCGAGCTGATTACCGCTAATGTGACCACGCCCACTGGAGCTGTTCATACGCAAATAATCCACGCGGAGGAACACAGAGCTGTCATCAGCCTCATCACCTCAAAACAAAGAATCAGCGACTTCAGCACTGCTCTGTAGGGGTGTGACGAGATCTCGTGCCACAAGATTTCGCGAGACCAAAATATGTTAGTGAATTTTAAGTATTCTAAATGAGCGGCCACGTGCATGAGGTTAGTTATCTGCAAAATGCAAGGCCCAAAACATATCCATTTAAAGGTGCTCTAAGCAATGTCACACGTTTTTTAGGGCAATATCTTTTTTTTTTGTCACATACAGCAAACTCATCTAACCAGTGTTAATTTTGACAGCAAATTTTGATTTTAGTCATAGCAAATTTTGATTTTTAGTTTTAGTCACGAGCTAATGCTAGCACGCGAGCGGCGTGTTTGAACCAAACCGGTTAGACTCAATACTTTTTTGCTACTTTGTAATAACTTTCAGCGGCCAGAGTTTTGGCAAATGAATGAGGGTAAAATGTTTTTTTTTTTTTTTTTTTTGATTTTCTCAGATGAAAATCTGGCCGTTTATAGGATTTTTTAAGGCCTTAAATTTAAATTTCAGATTTTTAGACTTTTTAAGACCTCGCGGAAACCCTGAATAATGGCAACTACTTTCCAATCATGTTAAAGTATCATTAAATGATACACATATAAATTCAACTGATAGGTAACTAGTTATTGGACTAACTGGTCTAACTTCACTGCTTATATTTTAAGATAGAGGTGTTCCCTTTGTGTGAATGCAAGTGAATTCCCAGAGGATGGCAAAGGAAGGCACAGAGTTAAGATTGTCTTGGCCCTTTCAGCCCCTCACACAAAGACAGGAAATTAAACACCATGGAGCAAAGGCCAATGTGTCTTTTTGCTGACAGAAGACAGACAAAATTAATTTCAAGTTTGACAATATATATATATATATATAAAAAAAAAAAAAAACATTAAGCGTAGAACCTGTGTTTTAATATCTCCAGCTATTACATTTAAAGAGAACTGGTCTGTCTCAGCTAAATAATTGTCTTCCTTGAAAAATGAATACATATGCTTGTGATGGCTCCAGGTCTGTCTGGACTGCCACAGCACCTGACAAATGAACTTTTGATACAGAATAATTCAGCTGCATTCTCAAGATGACAGAGCGTCATGAGACATATATCTTCCCTAGTGGAAAAAATAAGAAGCAATTAATCATCAGAAGCACAGGCTTTGACAGACAGCCCTCAAGCTTTGGCCGTTTGATTAACTGACTCTGTTCTCTGCAAAGAAACAAAGACAAATACAGACATGGCGTCTATTAATATGTATGTAAATAGCAACAAATGCAGCCCAGCATATTTGTAATAAACTCAGGCAAAGCCACAATTCTACAAGGATATTAAATTCATATAAAACAGGCCACTGATTTTATTGTATTGCATTTCCAAGCTTTATATGAGAGTTCTGATTATTTATGTATCAAAATGGACCAGAATTATAAAAGGGAGAAAAAAATGATACAGATTCCTGCTCTTTGTGGTTCCCTCAATATTAAATATATTACCTGAAGCCGAATTTGTCCATGGCAATGGCGAAGTGACGGGGCTGGTCGTAACAGTGGTAGAGGTTCCGGTCGTCCATAGGGATTAGGTCCACATCACTGAAAATGAAGCAGTCGTATTCTGCATCTTTCAGAGCCTCCGTGTAGCCAACATTAAGTAGCTTGGCCCGATTAAAGGTTTCCTCACCAAGCTGAAACACAACAGAATAAAAATAATAAATAACTAAATAACAGCTCAATTGCTATAAGGATGAAAAAAAAAACTGAAACTCTTTATTGTGAATTTATATCTCACATTATATAATGATAATAAGAATGAAAAAATAACCATATGATTAATTGATTTAAATATGCTATTATAAATGTATATATTTACAGATAAACACTTTAACTAACGACTTTTGTTAACATGATTACAATTATTACATAACTTACAATTATTTTTTAAAAAGTATTAAAAAACCCATCTAATTTGGTGCAATAAAAGTCTATAAATACTAAGTAAGAAATACACATCAACATCACAACACCATGTGGTGTCTGAACTAATAATCCTCCAGTGTGACCATAATCCCATGTAATCCTGTAATACCTGAGATTTGGCCTAATAATCCAAAGGTGTGAACTACTGCCACAAATCTACTGCCTTTTCAGCACAATGCATGGATCTGCACTACAAAAGCAATATCAATGCATATTATGTGAGCCTTTGAAGACTAGCATTCACTGAAAAAACGCGGCTGTAAACAGTGATGAACGGCATTGGACGCAAACAGAAGCATCTCCCGAGCAAAGCTTTAGCAAGTAAAATCGTATTTCACAACGCTGACGCTAAAAAAGTAAGGAAAATAACTTGATACTAAGTGACTTCTAGCTTCTATCAATATTTATCCTAAGTTTAATTCTCTCAGAGGCCTAGAGGAGAAAGGAACTTCAATATACCAGAAATTAATGGAGAAAGAGTGAGGGGGCAGATAAGGAAATATCTTTAAGAGATGTAAAATAGCTTCTTTTTTCATCAGCAAGGGTGCAATGAAACATTACTGAGATAATTTTTACTAGTTTATTAAGATGAATTCCTTGCGAGGTGGCAGGCATATCAGGCAAACACAGCAGTAGACTAGACGGTATTAACACACCTCACTAAAAATGACAGATTTATAATAAGGACATGCTCACGACTTAGTATTTCTCATCCAAGAAACCAGCTCCAAGACGGAGGATATGTGGATATCATGAACAGATGGTTTTGGAACAAAAAAAAAAAGTGTAATTAATTTTTCGCAAAAGGATCATAGGCGCTAAGCAATCATTCTAAACTTTCAGCTGTGAGGTGTTTGGCTCGATTTGTATGGTTCCAACACGCCATGAAGTAGGGTTGATTAAGAGACAGGTGTAGTACCTTCCCCTCATTAGCCAACTTGCACCTGTTCTAAGTCATTAACCTCAAGGACAATAGCCCATCCGGGGACTGTTATATTCAGTGGTGTATAATGAAGTACAAATACTTTCTTACTGTAATAAAGGTGCAAAACGCAAGTCTCTGAGTTGTTGCAGAACTACGCCCCCTCTGGCGACAAGCGAAACTGCAACCAGAGGTGTGCGCGCTCATGGATCACACGCACGCATGTTTACACTAGCTGTTCATCATAACCAAAGGAGCATCAGCTGCACACATCTTTTGTTACAGTCATAATGAGGTAATAAAGTTATAAATCTGCAAGTCATTTAAAATACATGAAAGGAAAGGCATTTGAGTAAATTACACACTTATGTGTGTGTGTGAGGAATAGAAAATTAAAAGGAACAGAATTTTTTGTAACAACTTTTGTAATATTACATACAGTAGGTCAACAGTGCATCCTTGCTAAATAAAGTATACTTTTTTTTAATGCCTATTTGACATTTAGACAGTCAAATAGGTTAGACATCCATACCGATGGACGTGGTAACACACACACACAAGAAAAAAAAAAAAAAAGAAAAAAAAAAAAAAACAGTTTTTGAGTACCATGTAAAATCCCATGGTACACTAATATGGTTATATAAATCCTCATATAAGTTTGATCTATAACCCATTACAAACTAAAATGTTTGTCCACTGAAGGTTGTTTCTCATTGCAGTCAGAGGAAAATCATTCTTAGCTCGAGCTCAGTAAATACAAAACAGCCTCCCCCTTTCCATCAGTACCACACTGAGAAGTACGACCGACTCGATTTTTTAACCAAGACTTAAACCACTCATCTTGAGGTCTGAGACTCACATCGGCCTCCAGCTAGAGTCTCCTTCTTTTATAAGCTTATCGTCACCATGTCAGTTGCTCAATACTTGCTCTCTGAGAAGCCATTAGCTGTATTTTTTTTATCTGATGATCACACTGATAGCTAATCACAATCCCTTGCTCGCTCTAAGTCATGAGGCAGGATTCCTATAGTGGCACACTCGAGGCCAACCAGGGAATCCTACCTGGACCCCGTTGCTATGGAGACAGATTAGGACCAGGGCTCATCCTGAGAGATTGCATTGTGCATTTTCTTGTGCAGGTGTGTGTGTGTGTCTGTGTAAGCCTGCATTATCAGTCCCCAGCAGGCTGACCATATCATCCAGCGTGCTATCGATGCCAGAGCTGAAGACTGGAGAGGAAGCGGGGACTAAAAAAAAAAAAAAAAAAAAAAAAAAAAAAAATCAGGAGTGAGCCAGATCAAGCTGACTTACAGGGAAAGTGTGCGTGAGAGATAGAGTGAATGGACATAAAAAGGAAGTCTCCAGAGCTCAACAGTAAGGATTTTTTTGGTTAAATGTTAACTTGCCTTGCTGAGATTTTCACTGGCCCCATATATTAAATGAAATGAAATTAAATAAAAATATATTAAATAATTCTGAATACAATATAATAATAAAAAACATTGTGGTTTAATGATCAATTAGCTTTTGTCAAAAATCACATTTTGTAAATGTTTCTAAAAATAAAATATATACAAATATGAACTGTATCAATATCAGTCATATAAACACAGTAAAGAATATTTACTAAACAGGGAAAATTAGCATAAGAGCACAATTCCAATTTGGGCGGTAAATAATGTACCAGTAAATTGATTAGCGCAAACCTTAGTAAATCACCTTGCATGATTCATTTAAATACTTTCCTCTAGAAATTTTGCATCAGAAAGAGAAACTCCTACAAAGGCTTATGCAATAAATATGTCGACGTCTTTTCTACGCTAATCTTTCCTTGCTGAGTGCGTGTCTTTAGAAAATGTCTTTATGCCAAATAAAGTTTGCACTGGCACTAGTTATAGTAAATTTGGCCCTATATCTTTTAAGTCTGACAAGCTACAGTACAATTCTAACAACTGGTATGGCTACTGGGACATTTACACTTGAGCTCTGGTTTCTTTTTCATAACTAGAATTGAAAGATAAGAAAGTATTCATTTAGCTGAGGCCTTTACCCAAAGTGACTCTAAGTACACTGACACAAACCAATGTCTTGATCAGAGATCACTCCTTGTGGATTCCGGTTAACCAGTCTAGACGAACAACTGCTACGCTACACCATTCCCCAGAAACTCTATCTCACTTAAATGAGGACACCATATGTTGCACAAGCATGCTAAAGTCAACAGGCCACATTCAGTGAGTGTTTTATACCCGCTTCGTTTTGACAGGCTCTCTTGTTGTGACCTATTTCTTTCCTGCTCGCTAGAAATGGTTTGCATAGTCAGTACTATTTCTAAAATACTCACAGGAAATAACAGCTCTCTACAGAACTGTTGTCAAGCATTAAGATCAGAAACATGGCCTGACGTTTCTTGCTGTTGAACAACTGTGCTGGAAGTTTTGTTATTACACTTAGCTTGTTTTGGAAGTTGCTTTGATTCAGAAGTCTGTTGCTTCATATTTCTGTTCCTCTCTGCTACTTTACCTGACAACTTCTGTACAATGAGCAGGACTTAATTAAAACCACGTTTCAGACATACGTTCATGTCTTATCAATGGCTGGAGGAGAGGCTCTGAGCCCAAGGATGAGGCAGCGCTGGCGACCGGCCAGGCAAACTAATTTACAGTAATGAAACATTGGCTATGGAAGCTCAAAAGAAAGGCAGCTTACAGACAAACCCCAGCTATTTCTGAGAAATCAATTTGAGGTTGTCTCCATTTCATCAATAGCCTGACATCACAAGGATTAGTAAGGCAAAAAGACAGACGAAACAAGCTGCGGCTATCAGATGGATTCATTAGGCTGGATCAGAGCACTCTCAGCCTATTTGTTTCTTCTTTCCTTCCTCACTTTCTCTCTCCTCCGATCTATCATTCTTCCTTCCTTCTGTTTTCTTTCTTCTATCGTGTAACGTTTCATCATTCTTTCCTTCTCTCCATCCAATTTTCCTTCTTTCTTACTTCCACCTCATTGGTTTCTCTCCCTCTCCTGTTGCCTCTTTCTTTCTTGCCTTCCTACCATTTTCTTTCCTTCTTCATTCTTGTCTTCCTTCCCCAGAAGGATCATTCTACGCTTCCTTTATTTTCTTTCTCTATTACTTCCTTCTTCTCCACTCTTTCCTTCTTCAACTTCATTACAACTTCGCTTTCCCCAACCTTCCCTTTATTTCTTTCCCTCTTGGCTCTCTTCTAAATCTTCCTTCCATCCATCCATCCATCCATCCATCTAAGGGGGAAAACAACAAAGTATTAATCTGTTTACGAGTCAACAACTCAATGACTCAAACGATGATTGAATGATGGTCTCCAGTGATTCTGACTCAAAATGAGCCAAAAATGGCATATCCTCGGAGCTTAGGTGTGTGTTCGACTAATTGCATGAAAATTAATTCACTAATGCCAAATTTTAGGATTTATTATTGTAAATGAAAATCATATTTAGGTCACCACTCGAAATCGTTAGTAAACTAAATCTGCTGGCCGTCTGAAGGGTATAGGTAAAAACTAAACATAAGGTTGAAATAATGTAAATGAATGCCCATTCCATTTGTGTTTCAGATTGTGTAAAATTAGTCTGGTATAGCATTAACCCATTTTGCCCTATGTGACATATTTTATAATGTATGTTAATATTTGTCAACACACATTTACACGTTTTTCGTAATTTCTATTTGATATACATTTAGAAATTGGTATATCTGGTTACTTTCAGTTTTTTGAATATTTGAATTATCAGTAGGCTAATTAC